CCGGTGCAGCCCCGCGAAGAGCCCGCTAGGGGCGGGGCGGAGGGTAGGACGGCTCACTGCTGCTCGCTACTGCCCCCTGGCGGGTCTCACTCGCGTCGTCGATGCGTGGCCCCTTTCCATGAGTCTCTTCATCATCTTCTTTTGTTCATTCGCCACCCCGGCGTCGGCTAGGCCCTCTGTCTCCTTGTCTCTCGGTCTCTTTTGCCCTGGGTCTCTACCGCTCACCACCACCTTGATTTCTCCAGCCCCCTCCTCTTCTCACCTGACTTTGCTGACACTAAGGACCACAGAGCCAGGGGACAGGCCGCTTGGGGGACTCCTCAGCACCGTGGGGGAACACTGGAAGTGCTCTGGTTCACCAAAACTGGTGGCGGGGCTGGTGGGAGACAGAGATGTAGGGACCCCAAGGAGGAACCCGGCGGGGAGAGAAGGGGAGCCCTTGGTTTTGATAAGGTGGAGGAATGAATCATCCTCCCAGCTTGGACATGTGCTGACTTTGACCCCAGCTCCTATCAGCTTCATACGCCAAGGAGATGGCTCACAGGGACATCTCCATGGGTCTTGACCTGGGGCTTTTTATAGCTGAGGAGCAGAATAGGTTGCCATTGGGTAGAAAATCCAGTATAAGAAGATTTTGGCTGAACACAAGCCAGGATGATGAGGGTTAAGGGAGAGGAAATTTATCAGATATGGAAAGTGATCAAATATCAAGGCTTGGCGACTTTTGCTAACAGGACTCTGGGATTCGGGACTCTACAAGGACAGAGGTACAAGCCCAAAGTCAAGCTTAGTCCAGCAGAAAGCTCAGGAGACTCAGATTTGATAAAGGAAAATGTCAATCAGTGGGTACTATATGCCAAGCACTGTTCTAGCCACCAGCCGTAGTGAACAAATTAAGTCCTACCTCCTCTTGGGCAAACAAATCTGCAGCATATCATATGCTGAGTCCTAGAAAGAAACCTAACAGCATAAAGGAGGGAGAGAGTAAGTGCTAGTTGTGACTGATCTTACAGCTGTCTCTGTCTATAAGTTTCATTTATTTCTCTAGTTTCTACATGCAATTGTGGATTTTCTAATAGCGATGACCCAAATCTCCTGAGCACATGCCAGGTCCCATGCTGAGCACTAGTGAATAATCACCCAAGATGCTCCTCATAGCTTATTAAGTCTTCTCATCATCACCTTAGGGGTGAGGGGGTGATTTATTCAGGATCCCAGTGGAGGAAGAGGCAGACAGAGCCCAGACTGTGCCATGGTGGTGCTCAGCTCAGCTCCCTTATCCTTGGGTCACCAACTACCACGCTTCCCTCTCTCTGCCAGCCGGACTCAAAGATGCCAGGTGTTCTCAAAGATGCCAGTGCTATTCCTGGAATGCTCTCCTTCTGCCCAGCTAGTCGCTGCTCATCCTTCATCATTGGGATGTCCCTTTGGGGAGTCTCACCATCTCCTACCAGTCTGGGTGACCCCCTAGTAGACTCTCATATTTCTGAGTTTCTTCCACTCAAGCACTCTCACATCACACAAGATTGTAATTAAGGATCTCAATTACTTGTATCTGTCACCCACTGTGCTCCCAGAGATGTTAGCTGTTGGATAAATAAAATTAGACTGATAACTACAATATATAAAGGCTTAGACGTGACAGTTATGAAAGGCTACCATATTGTGTTCTTGCCAAGCAGGACTGCCACCCCCATTTCAGAGGGGAACACTGCGTGGTGGACTTGAGTCCAAGCAGAACTGGATACCAGCTCAGGTCAGGTCTGATTTCAAACTCAGTATTTGGAGGGTGGTTAGAATCAAATCACACTTGAGTCCGGCTCACAGGGACCAATGTCTGGTGAGGGAGATTTTGCAGACTCAGGCATGGTTTTGAGAAGGTGAAGTGGAGAGTCTGAGGCAGTGGTATTTGAAATCGGGCATCTGACAAAGAAAGACATATCCTTTTTTTTTTTTAATTATACAATAGCTTATTTTTACATCACTTTGTGCATTTTTCCATCTCAGTTGGAATCCCCGTGTGCTTCCCATCACCAGATCACGCATGTGCCATCACTATAGTCCAGTGCATCTCCCTCCCCCCACTGTTTTTGATCCCTTTCCTCACTCCACCCCAGTAAAATGTCTCTGGTGTATAGCTGTTTATTATTACTATTATTTTCTCGCCTGTTCCATTATACTCCTGCTATGAGTGAAACCATCCGGTATTTTTCCTTTCTTTCTAGTTTATTTCACTAAGCATGCTCCCTTCCAGCTCCATCCATGTTGCTGCAAAAGGCATGTGTTTATTTGTTTTTGGTTGCTGAGTTATAGTCCATTGTGTATGTGTACCACATCTTTCTAATCCAGTCATTCACTTTAGGGCATTTGGGTTGTTTTCATAGAAAAGGCAAAGAAAAAGAATGAAAACTGGCGCTAGGAGGACAATAGGATTTCCTCTGTATGGGAACCCACAGGGCTAGAGGCGCCAAACATGAGGGCTTTGGACACCACTGCTTCCTTCCAGAAAGCCCCTTTGCGCCTTTAAGAGTGGGTCCGCCCCCTGAGTTGTCTGTGTCAATCTAACACCGATAACCAATCGTAGGAGAGAAGAGAGCCCTTCCGCGCCTCAACCGCACTTAGGAGGCGGGGCCAGAGTCCGAAGAGGCGCGGCAGTTGGGTCACGTGACCCGCCCCATTGGCCGGCGGCTGGCGTCGCAGGGAGCTGTTCGGGGACGCCCATTGGCCGAAGACTCGGGATCTCAGCGCGAGGCCACGCCCCCCGGCGTCCCGGGGTTGGTTGCGCGGGCGCCGGGGAAGGAGACGCTGCCCTTCCGCAGCTATGGGAGCCCAGGTGAGTGGCCGGGGGCGAGCCTGGCGCGCTGGCGGGCCGGCGGCGCCGCAGCACCCGGGACTGCGGCTGCAGCGGGCGGGAGCCTGGTTTGCGCCGGGCCTGGGGTGGGCGCAGAGGTGTCCTGGCCTAGCCGGGCTAGAACGGCTGGGTTTGGAATGAGCAGGTAGTCGGGCCGGGGGGTGGGGGGGTGCAAGAGGTGGAACGGGAAGCCCGGGTCGGTGAGATGCCCCGGCCTGGAACGCCGCGGGGTTCGGAGCAGGGGCGCAGGCACTGATCCCCGGCAGGCAAAGTCCCGGGGCTGGAAGGAGCAGGTGCCTCGTCCATGGCGGTGCCGGTGGGCACCTGGACGGGCACCTGGACGACCACCACGGATATGCCGGCGGTCGGGACAGGAGAGGAGGGCACCCGACCCCGGGCTTCTCTAGATGCCCGGGATGGCACGAGCAGGCGCTGAAGTTGGGCTCACTGCTGAGGTCCAGGGCAGGAGCACCCAGTGCCTGGCACGGTGGGACCGGTGAGGTGTGCAGGGTGCGAGAACGGGAGAGGGGCAGCGGGTGGTTCCAGGGAGGGCCTGGCCCCGGGGCTTTGCTGCGCTCAGAGTGGGCAGGGAGGCTGCCCAGGCTGGAGTATTTACTAGGGTCAGCCAGGGCAGGGGAAGGTGCTCCAGAGGAAAGTTCGGCGAGCTGTTGTAAGTGCCACAGTGGGGGTGGAGTGAGCAGATGCCAGCCCAAGGTTATAGGGCACCTGAGGTGACTGCCTAGGCGGGGACTGGAAGTGTCCAGTCGCGGAGACATTCCCGCAGGCTCAGAGGAGAGGCGGAGGCTGCCCCCCTGGACCCCACCGGGCCTGGGGAATGTAGGGATCACCCCGGAGCTGGGTCCTTCCCGGAATGCCTGCTCCAGGCCAGGCTGCCCTTGGTCCTGCCCACCTTGGTCTAACTCGCCTGGCCGGAGCGGCCTTGACCTGCTCCCCAGGCCTCTCAGCGGTCTCCACTGGGAGCGCGTCTTCTGTCTTGTCTTTGTAACTCGGTGGGCTTCGGACTTGGACTCGGAGTTCCACTGGCCCTTCGGGTGAGCCAGAGGGGAGGCGGCACTTGCAGCAGGAGGCTGGGGACCGCCGTGGCCTTGGGATCCCCAGAGCTGAGGCCCATCCCAGCCTGCCCACTACTCACCTCAGTCGGGCCGCCTCCCTCTCTGAGCGTTGCCCCAGTCCACGCTGCCCTTGTCCTCAGCCCTAGGATATGGCCCTCTCCGCCCCGAGCGAGGCTGTAGGGTCTTCTCCTTCCCGCCCTGGGGATGAGGTGTCCCCGATGCTGGCCTGGTGGCTTGACTGCCGCCACCGGTGGACGGCGTCTGCCTGGCCTGCTTGTTCCTCCTCCTGGGGTCCCAGGAGACCTTGCAGGTGTCTTGGGCTTGGTGGTGGTGGATGGGGAGCGGCCTGAAGGATCTTTAGCGGTGGTCTTTGGGGCCTCAGGTCACATATGTGCTGAGGCTGGAATCGGGGGTCCCGGGCTCTCGGGAGGCAGCTCTGGTTCTGCGAGGGGCTTGCCACGTCCTGCTCCATGCCAAATTTCCCCAACTGTTGTTTGAGTGCAGAGCCTAGGTCCCGATACCCCCACCACAGTCCTGACTGTCTGGCTCCTGCCATGTGACTTTACACTCCTGACTGAGCCTCTCCCAGCCTCAGTTTCCTCACTGGGAGTTGGTGGAGGAGGTAGGCGGCCGCTGCTTCTCAGACTCGTGAAGATTCAGTCACACGACGTGTGTGAAGAACCCACAAAACACACGTGGCGTTGTCACGTTAGTGGGACAGGAGTGTGCTGCCTCGGCGAGACAGGCCACCAGAAGAAGTCTCGTGGCTTTGTGGGAGGAGAAAAGGATGAATCCCAGCCAGAGGCCTGACCCTTCAGAGGCCTGCGATGTTCTCTCGCAAATGGCTGTGGGTTGAAAAAGATTGCAAAAGTGTGGCCAAGAGCCCCGGGCTTGCCAGCGACCTGTCCCTGGGCCCCAGCTCGCTCCTGGCCAGCGTGCCGGACACCGCCGCCTCCAGGCCGGGTGGGCAGGGGTCTGAGAGGGCCTTCCCGCTGGTGGGTGTGGAGGGCTGCTGCCCGAGGCGGCGGCTCCTGCGTGCCTTTCTCTGATCACCCGAGCGTGTCCTTATGTCTGACTTGGCCGTTTCTGTCTCAGTGCTGTGGAGGGACACTCTGGTCTGCGCATCCCTGTCTCTCCCGGGCCCCGACGGTGCCCAGGACCCAGCCAGCAACCAGTTGAAGACCTTCTCCCGGGAAGCTCGTCTCCCCGAGGGCCCTGGCCTGGGGCGCTGGGCCTGCCATGGCGTTCCGGAGGACCGAGGGCATGTCCATGATCCAGGCCCTGGCCATGACGGTGGCCGAGATCCCCGTGTTCCTGTACACAACATTTGGGCAGGTAAAGTTGGAGGTGGTCTCGACCTTTACCCCTGTGGTCCCCAAAACACTGAGCCATGCAGCCCCGGGAAAAGCTGAACCCCCCAACTGTGGTCCCAGACGCCTGGTGTTTGCTGTGTGAGCCGAGGAAGAAGAGCTGGTCTTTACCTGGGAACCACGAGAACTGTTGACCCCGGTTCTCAGTCCTCGGGGCGTGGCCCTGCCCTCCCTGTTAACCTCAGCCTGCGGCTGAGCGAGGCTCTTGCCCTCCTGAAAGCTCCGCCCTGGGGGTGCAGCCCCACGTGAGGGCTCCCGGGGCGGGGAGAGACAGCCATTGTCCGCAGTTCAGTTTCTCCCTTCCGGCCGCCCGAGCCTGGGCTTCGCCTTGTGGGTCGCGGACCTCCTCTGACACAGGCAGCCGGGCGCTGGCCGGGTCGGCGCGGTCACCGCCGCTCCTGGCCTGGGGGCTGGCAGTGCAGCCACCCCGCGTGTGATCTTGGCACTGACATTCGGCCGGCCCACCTCCCTTTTCATCGCTGTGGTGCTACTTTGGGGCCCTGGCCAGATCCCCCGTTTCCAGGGGTTGCCACTCAGTCACTCCTGTCCTTGAGGTGCTGCCCAGGGCCACTCAGCCCGGCTGCATCCCGCTGCCTCCCCCTCTGCGCAGTCCGCCTCCTCCCAGCTGCGGCTGACGCCAGGCCTGCGCAGGGTGCTCTTCGCCACGGCCCTGGGGACTGTGGCCTTGGCCCTGGCCGCCCACCAGCTGAAGCGGCGCCGGCGGAGGAAGAAGCAGGTGGGCCCTGAGCTGGGAGGTGAGCACCTGGGCACTGTGCCCCTCCCCATCCTCACGGCCAGGAAGGTCCCGTCAGTGAGGAAAGGTAGGTGTGGCGTGGGGAGGGGCCGGCCTGGGGTCCTCCCGCTGGGCCCGTTCACTGTGGGACCTGGGGCTAGTGGCGCCCGGGTCCCCCACCCCTGTGCTGCCCGGTCAGTGGCCACCGTTCTCACTGTCGGGCTCCTGTGGGAGCCTCCAGCCAGGGAAGCCTGCTCAGGAGGGCCGCGTGCTTCCGTGGGGCCCCCACACCAGCTTTTTAAATTCCATTTAATTTTTAAAGATATATGTATTTTTGCACACAAGAGCTGGGGTACAGGCCAGAGGTGTGGGAGGGTGAGAGGACTCACCAGAGACAGTGGGGAGCAGGACAGGCAGATGGACGAAGCACACCGCTGAGGGGAGGGCAGGAGGCAGGAGAGGGCTGCTGTGCCCCGGGCGCCCCCCCTGGCGGGGATCCGACTCGTGCTGCAGGGCTGCGGTAGCTTCACGGTGCCGAGACCCAACCCCTGCGCCACCAGGGAGGCCCTCAGCTTTTTTTTCATTAAAATTTATGTCTGTAGCCGGGGCCTCCCTTTGCTGGCCGCGACCCTTAGCCCGAGGCCACCGCAGTCCAGTGCTGTTCCGTCACTCTTAGAGCCCCGTCCGCTGGGGGCCTTGTCGCCGGCCGCTCCTGATCGTCCCGCAGCTCTCTGTAAGGCCAGGCGCGGCGTGGGAGAAGCAGCAGTCTCCTTGTGTGAAGTGAAGTGACTGACCCGCCCCTGCCGAAGGGAGCCGGGCCTTCCCACCGGGGAGAGGAGGCCGCGGCCCGTCCAGGATAGGACCCAGCAGTGCTGGCTTCCCGTCGTGCGGCGCTGGGGCCCTGGGGCCCTGGGGCCTCGCTCCCCTGTGCCCGCCATCTTTGCCTCCCCACCGCCTCAACTCTGAGCGACAAACCCTTCGTGTACCTTAAACCATTGTTGCTGTCTCTCTGGGTAGAGGAGACCCCGTTCAGCTGCTCAGTGGCCACAAAGGGGAAGCGGAGCCCGAAGCAGAGGAGGCAGGGAGTGGGCGGACCCCATCCTCAGGGTCACCCCTGCGGATCTGGACTCGTGGGGGGCCAGGCCCAGCGTGGGCGCCTGGGATACGCACCGGCGTCCCTGCGAGGTGCTCCCGCCTGGGTGCGCCGCCGCCGCCAGACCAGCGCCCGGCTGGAGGGGCGGGAGGGTGACTGGAGTGGGGAGCGGCCCGCTGACCCCGCGCTGTTCCTCCCAGGCCACTCCAGCCGGCGGGTGCAGAGCCCCGGCAGCAAGAGCAACGACACCCTGAGCGGCATCTCCTCCATCGAGCCCAGCAAGCGCTCGGGCTCCTCCCACAGCCTGGCCTCGGTGAGCCGGCGAGCGCTCCGGCTCCTTGCTGGGGCGGGCGGGCGGCGGCCTTCCCTCACCTGCCCACCTGCTGGCCCTCAGACCGCTGGGCACGCTCCCTGCTAGCCGCCAGCCCCAGAGAACTCGGGGCGGGCAGGACAGGCGTTTGCGGGCGCTGGCGGGAGGCTTCTCTGGCGCTGCAGCCACTCATTCCTTCGCTCCCAGCAGTGAGTCAGCGCCTGCTGTGCGCCAGGGCCTGGCTGGGTGCTGAGGAGGAGAGGAGCAAGGAGAGACAAGTGTGCTTTCTCGCGGGGAGTGCCTTTGGGCTCAGCCCCACCCCGTCAGCAGTGTGTCCCCAGGCGCGGAGCCGGAGGTGGCTTCTGTCCCCAGGGCCCGCGGCCTGGCAGGGCAGCGGGCGCGCGCGCGGCCGAGAAGTATGGGTGAGGGCCCGGCCGCCCGCGAGGGGTGCGTTCCCAGGCCTCCTCGTCCCCCCAGGAGGAGCCCCGGGGCAGGGGTAGGGTAGTGCCGCTCGTGAGCAGGCTGCGGGCGGGGCGTGGGAGGCGGCTGGTGCCTGGCTGGAACTGGCCTCTCCTCCTGCCGTGGCAGTTGCTGGGAGGTGCCAGCAGGACGTGGCCGCCGGGGAGGGCCAAGCCAGTTCAGGGGTGGGGGAGGCCCAGGGGTCTCACCCTCGGGTGCTCTGCTGCTCGGTTCCCAGATGGTGGCGGTGAACTCATCCAGCCCCACGGCTGCGTGCTCCGGGCCGTGGGATGCCAGAGGGCTGGAGGAGTCTGTGGCCGCCGGCGATGGCCACGCCGAGAGCCTCTACATGCAAGGTACAGGCCAGGTGCCGGCTGGGGTCCCGGGCAGGGGCGGGTGGGAGGGGCCCCCTGGGAGCCCAGGCCGGCTCCGGACCCTTGAGGGTGCAGGTTCGCCAAGCTCTCTTGGCTCCCCGGTCCTGTTGAGTGACTTCCAGCCTTTTCTGAACCAGAACAGTGTCCAGAAAGAACTCTGGCCCCATGACGGCTGTAAGCGGGGCCTGAAAGCGTGAGCAGGGCTGGCTTTCGGGGGTCCGCCGACCCCTGCCCTTCGGGACCCTCATGCGTCCTCACTGGCTGGCGCTCCCCCTCTGTGGGCCTGACGCCCCCTCTCTCCCCACCTGCACAGGCATGGAGCTGTTTGAGGAGGCTTTGCAAAAGTGGGAGCAGGCGCTGAGCGTGGGGCAGAGGGGAGACAGCTGCAACACCCCCACACCCGGGGACAGCCTCCGCAACCCTGAGACCACTTCGGAGGTGCTGTCAGAGGTAGGTGACGCCCTGTCGTTCCTACACCGCCCCCACCCGAAGGGAGAAAGCGAGGCTGAGGGACCCCTCTGGGAGGCCAGACGCAGCACCCCTTTCCCCTCCCCCCGTCCCATCCTCTGGGAAGGGGTAAGCCTGGCTCCCAGGAAGCACGGTGACAGTCATACCGGTTCTGACTGAGGAAACAGTTGTTTTCTGTGTTAAAAACAAAAATCTGAACCCAGAGTAAGCTCCTTTCTCAGCGGGTTGAGGTCACGGGGGGACCCCTCTGCGGCGTTTACTCTCAGCGGGTTGAGGTCACGGGGGGACCCCTCTGCGGCGTTTACTCTCAGCGGGTTGAGGTCATTGAGGTCACGGGGGGCCCTCTGCGGCGTTTACTCTCAGCGTCGGTTGCCCAGCTGTGAATGGAGCCAAGAGGCCTCGGCCGGGGCTTGTGCCCAGTGCCCAGGAACCTGGCACCTGTGGGGGCTAGTGCCTGGCGGGACCCCTCGGGGTCTCGGACATGGGGTGAGGTGGGGCGGTCAGGACCGTGTCTGTCCCCCGCCCTGTTTCCTCCTGGGCAGCCTCTGGGGCGACGCCCGGTGGCAGCAGCCGTTGGTTGCCCGGGCTGACAGCGGTCCCGCGGAAACGTTACGGGGGGCTCTGGTTCCAACATTGTGCGTCTTAAAGTGATCAGACTCTCGCTGTTTCGGCTTACTGTGAGCGCCATGAAATGTCCCCTGTAAAAGGGGGGGACAGCAGTGGAAGAGAAGGGGACACGAGCTGCCTCAGGCGGAACCCCGGGGCCGGCCGCGAGGTCAGTGTGTGCCCTCTGTGGTCAGTGTTACTGATGCCTGCAGCTTTTCATCCAGATTGGGCCACTCTGGATGCTTCCGGGCATTTTTCTGTGCTATCAATCTTTGAACAGTTTCATTGAAATAAAATCCCCCAATTTTAATTGTGTAGTTTGGGGTGCGTCGTCATGGGTGGTGTGTTCCTCATCAGAATCCACCCCGGGGCGTAGTCAGCGCACCAGAGACAACCCGCTCAGCCCGCCCCACCCCCGCCCCCAGCCCTAGGTAGCCGCGAATCTGCCGTCTATCTATAGAT